ATAGTATTTATATGTGCCATCTTAAGCAACCCAATAAGAATTTAAGACTCTCAAAGCTCCAATTTTTCTTCCAACTCTTTCTTCTGCAACAGATCTAAGATTTCTTGTTGGTTTTAATTAATTAACTCCTTAACTCTTAGGTTTTCCTTTAACAAGTCCTTTTCTAATGAGTAATTTTCTACCACCTCTTCTTACTCTTACTCTATAAATGACATAGCCTAAATAATTATTCATAATGAATTACCTTATTTGGCTTTATAACCCAATCTTCTAGCTTTATCTGGTCTACTTGGTCTAGTGGCTCTATGAATTACAGGTAATTATCTATATTCCCATGTTCTAATTCTCATGATAAAGCTTAAAACATCTGATTGTTTCTTTTTCCAAAGTTCTTATAAATATTTGTATGCTCCCATTTGAAAGTGAAAAAAAAGATTTTTATTTATGAATAATTTTCAAATCCCTATAAAGAAGCCACAATATATAAATTAAATCATATTTTTAATTTTTATAACATTTCTTAATTTGCTGTTAGTAATAATTAAATTCTTTCATCCAAAGATTATTCTTCTTAAGGTTCATTCAATTCTTGACAACTATACTTTCCACTATATACTAAAAATCTTTAATTTTTTTCCATTTCTTGTTCAATCCAAGATGACAATTAAGTAGAGTGTTATTCTCTTTATTAAAATATCTCTGGTATTATATAAGATTCTTCAGCCAATTTTAAACAATATTACATATATACCTATAATTCTGGTTGAAAATATTCAAGATAATGATTATATGTTATTAATAACCTATCATCTTAAGTTGGACAGAATTCAAAATTATTAATTAAACCAAATTAAGTTATTATTTTAATAGTGCAAGGAGGAGGATATTTAAATGTAATAACAGTTCTATCTACAAATTTAGCTTTCACTGTTCCATTCTTTAATAAAATAAATTCTCCAACTTCTCTTAAATCAACCTTCCTTAATTCTTCAAAATTTCCTTATTCAACTTTATAATATTCAATAGGTTTTTATTTCTCTTATAATTATGTGATAATCAAATTCATATTTTATTTATACTTTGTATTTATTAATTTACAATATACATCAAAGGCACTTAAATTATATTTATCATTCTAATTATATTTATAAATAATTTACATAAATAGATTATTCCCATTTCTATTATCCATATTCCCAAAATATTCCATCTCTAATTAAAAGTTAATCATTTATTAATCCTATTCCTCCATCTACTTAAAACCAAAATTATGCTTAATTTGTAAACATAAATATAGGTCTTCCTAAATTTATCTAACTAATTTTATTCATTATTGGTGACACATTATCATTTATTTATATTGTTTTAATAGGTTAATCTATTAAGATTTTAGTGACTAATTAATCTTTTATTTTATAACAATTATATGTTTCATAAAAATATTCTTACATTTCTTCTTATTCATTTAATATATATTCAATCAATTCTGTTGGAAATTAAATATCTAAATATTACACTATTTTATATATAATATAAAATAAATACATTTATCGTTATTTAAGAAATCTTTTACTAAAACAAAGAAAGGAGCTATCCATTATATTGGAAAGTTAATCAAACTATATTATTTATTCAATATTCTATATGTATATCCTATTCCACAATCTATACTAGTAGCTGTTGATTTAGTAGCTCCAAGATTATATTTCTTAATAAAACTATTTACAAAATTATTTTCATTTTCAATCTCCTTAACTACAGCTACTGTTTGATTACAAGAATAGTATTATAAAGATATTTAAAATGTTTAAAGATTCAATTTCATTTAAGCATAACCATCTATAGACTTTAATATAGCATAACCATTCTCAATTTAATATTCAAGTGGCCAAATCTATTATTATTATTATTATTATGTATTACAATAGTTTAAATTTTCTTCATCTTAACTGCCTCTTCATATATTATTTAATCTGAATTTAGATATGTATACTTTGATGCCACTTATAATACTTCTTTAACTTTATCTTAAATGTTGTCATATTTTCTACAATTCTCAATTTTGATTCTACTTCTCTCTCCTTTGCTATTAAAATAACTTAATAATCCAGTATTTGAATATATTAATGCTGATTAATCCTTAAATACAGCATGAATTGAATCATCAAATTATATGAATTCTTTTATAAATTCAAACATAAATTATCAATAATTTATTTTCGTTAGAATATTTGATAATTGAGTATAAAAATAAAATGTAAAAAAAGAACACCCATGGCAGGGATTGAACCTGCAGCCTACAGCTTAGAAGGCTGTCGCGCTACCAATTGCGCCACATGGGCATCTGTACTAAATATATATAGCTTTATTATTAGAATACATAGAAAAGTATAGATATATTTAATAATTTATTCATCTTAAAAATATTTAAACTATTGTTTAGAAAGTATCATACATGTTAATTATTTCACTCATAAACTAATTATAATAAGTGGCTTCAATTTTTGCCTTTAATAAATTATATTTATAATAAATACTTCATCACCACATAAAAAACATTTCTTTTAATATCCTTTATTACATGTGCCACAATAAGTATGAGCACAAGGAATTATAGTTACAGCATCATTTACTAATTTTCCACAATATTTACAAAGCAACGCTTAATGAAGATGAATCTATATGTTAAATCTCTCTTACTGTTTATTATTACAAAAGTTTAGCTTTTTATTCAAATTATTTAAATTTATCTTAAATTAAACTATTCTACTCTTATGTTCTCCATAACTATTATTCTGCTCTATGTAATTATTCCTTTAATTCCATTTCTAATGAATTCATTTACTTTTTAATATTCAAAACATCATTTTCTTATTTTTCTTCTTATAAACTTTCATAAGCCAATTTAAGTGATAAGAATTTTCTTTCAAGTTACTCCATCAATTTTTATTATTCTTAATTTTTCTCTTATAATTCCTAACATTCTTTCTCCTCAATTTATACAATTAAATCATTATACTTTTTCATGATATTTTTATTCCCAATTACAAGGTATATCAAATTGCTAAATTGGATTAACCAATGAATTAAATAATTTCTTTTAGACAAGTTTCTTAAAAACTGGCATCTATTTAAAACTTGGCTAAGTTTTTTGTCTCTTTGTTTAAACACTTTATCCTTATTATTTAATTCCAACATCTTCTGTAGTCTTATACGATCTAATGTCAAACTTAAATGTTGTTTTAGATAATATTTTTGGAGTACTTTAATCAAGTGCCGGAAATCTTTAAGAAAACATTATATAAATTTATATTATAAGTAATTTATATTTTAAGTAATTATAAAAAATAATCATTTCTAAAATTCAATCATTCTCAAAATCAGAATATTCCCATTTTCCAAGTTAAACTGAAGATTTCTTTTTAAAATTTATCTATTATATATTATTTTTATTAATAATCGTTCTCTATTGAATATCTTATATAAAACTAGTTTTAAATTTCCTAATTTTTACAGGTTTTTCTTAAGGTGATGAAGAAATTGTTTTCAATCTATCAATTATTTTACACTTTTCAACATTTAATCCAAAAGTATATGCTGCAGGTCTCACTAAACATATCTTTTTACACTTTTAAAATGATGAATTTACTCTTGATTAAGGTGGTCTATATGTTTAGATTTCTTAATTCTTAATTTAATATTATGGAGATTAAGAACTAATTTCAGTTTAAATTGTTTTAAATTAACTTGATTCAGGTATTTTACATGTAATACTTCTGTTTCTTATTTAGGACATCCTTTCTAATATTTTATTTTTAAAATCTACTCTTTTATAAATCATTTATTAATTTTAATCTTTTAAAGGAAGAGTTTTGCATTTTAAATTGAATGATTTACTAAACTATGTTTATGTTTATTTTTATTGTATTGATTTTGTGGTATTATTCAAATTCTACATTTATAAATTTGCTGGAGAACGTGTCGGCAAATAACTTGGATGATAATAGTCTCTTTCAGTTATGTGATATAAGGTGAATTAGGATTTTTTTCTATTCTCTTTCACATATTACTAAGCCAGCAAATATTTTAGATTAAATTTTTTAGCAGGACTACTCTCTTCTGTGAAACTAATTGTAAATGGTCTTTTTGAATGTCCTTTATCATCTGCTCTATTTATCGACAAAAATAGTCTACCCGTTAAGATCTATTGTCTTTTTCATGTATATAGATTAGTAATAAAATTATATATAAATATTATTTAAATTTAAACCTTTCATAACAATTCTTAATCATAATGATATTGAATATATTTATATTCAATTAAAATTAGAAAAACATTAACTTCTAATTCTTCTTCTATAAATACTTTAAAATAAATTTTAAAATCAATTATCAAATCAAATTCTCTCCTATATTATAAATATGAAATTAAAAATCATCATAATTTATACTTATATAAGATTGAATTTCTATTATATATGAATAATATTCAGATTTAATTTTTACTAAATTTATATCATATTAACATAACTCAAAATGAATTACTATTATAACAACAAAAGAATTTTAACTAATAGATATATATATATAATTTGAATAGATTAATTATTCATTTAACAATCTTCTAAAAATCATTGATGAAACCTTCAACAGTAGATTTTGCATTTTAAATACATTAATCTTATTGGGTTGTCTTTATGCATTATTCAAATGTAATTCCCATAAAGAGCATTTTAAAATCAAAAGCTTTCATTTATTTGTCAACATTTTTGCTTTTTTGATACATACCTTTTGAAAATTATGAATTAATTATACATTATGCATATTTCTCTACATTTTTTCCATTTTAACTCATACATTACTCATGATATTGCTTAGGAATATTTTAGACTACTTCTTCAAATCCTCTTTGAACAACATCTAATGTTTTTTATAATTATTGATGAACAGGGCTTGCTCCACTCATACCAGAAATAAAATTTAATTAAAAATAATATCACTCATTATTTTTTCAATGTTAATTCTAGACTCTTTAAAAAGTCTTATTAGATCTAAATAATACTATTTATAGCTGATTATTAACACTAACTTTTTTCATTTATATTTAAACATTCAGCAATTTCATTTTTTAGATAATTAATTTTAAACTCCATTTTCTTCTCTTCCTTTTATTAACTTTTTTGGAAATTCATCATGCCTTTGATATTTATAAATTATTTTACACTTCACAAATTCAAATCTATTACCCTTATTCTCTTTAAAACATATATTTTCTTAATTTTGATATTTTTCAACAATTTAACCCAAGAAATTTGCAGTTGTAAAATCAATAACTTCATTTCTAATTTCCTATAATAATTTATTTGTCTCATCTTCATTTCTATTCATGTTTAATCAATAATTCTAAATATAAATAATTAAAAATTATGTTATTGAACAAGAATACTCAATTAAGAATGATAAGATGTTTTATATTTTTAAGAATTATATATATAATATTTATATGATCAAATTAATAGACCTAGAAGGATGGTCAGATTATTCAATATCTCCATATATAAATTAATTAAAATAACTCTCGGAATCACCTGAAATTACACCAACAAAACGAGAGAAATTAAATAGGCTCCCTTCAATCTAATAAAAAAAACTGGAATGTTATGAAATACAGAATTATAAATCAATTTATTTTGCAAATAGAAAATAATTAGGATATCAAGTTGTTAGTGAAGAAAGGAAATCTTAAAAATTAAAAAAATAATATACTAGAGTACATTAATAATAATATTAATTTCATGAATTGTCTTCATTTGTAGAATCTCCTAAGAAATCAAAAAAAATGAAAGAATTATAGGATTGTTTATTTTAGAGAAGATCATATAGATTGTAGATAAAGAATAAAATGTTAAATTTAACTTAGAAATCACCTCTCCATAATATATCATAACTATTACGAAAACTAAACAGTGAAGTCATAAATAAGAATGAATTAGTATAAATTTTGGATAAATGAAATTTTGTTCATCAATTAAATCTGCATACAGGACACAGTTTACTTTTTTTTTGCCATTATTATAAACAAATTTTATGAAAGACATGACAACATTATAGAATTCCTTTTTGATCATTAAGTTAAATATCCATAAGACATATCGAGCATTCTTAAGGTTTATAGGATTATTATTTATCAATAATCTATTTTTTAAGACATTCACGATAATGTTCTTACTAGAACTTTTTGAATATTTTATCTTTACAGTATTCACATTAACCATCTTCTTTATCTACAAGAGCAAATGCTTTACAAATAGTTAGATGATTTAATATTAATTATTTTTGTTATTTTTCTCCACAATATCTACAAATAATAATTTCATTATTATTCTTACAAGTTTCCATATGTTTAGCCAAAACACATTAAGGATATTAATCTTGGCAATTATTGCATACCATTAATTAATATTAATTGTTTCCTAATTTAAAATCCATAATTTATAATAATAATGAATTTTACAAATGATTATTATTTCATAATTTCATATATAAAAAACCATAGATCATTTTTCTTTAAAAGGATTGATTTGATTTATTTATTATAAAATAATATTAAAAATTATGAACTTTATATAATGTACTTAAATATCATATTATTGAATCAAAATAGAACAAATTGTTTTCTGACATTACCAATAATTTCATTTGGGATAACTTTCAAAACATTGAATCTCACTGTTTTTGATAATGGTCTATCATTTCTAAACTAAATACCTGCATTATCCACATACAACAATATCACCTTCCTTAACTGGACCAAAAGCAGGTGAAATATGGACTGGAACATTTCTATGTCTCTTTTCATATCTATTATATTTTGCAACATAATGTAAATAATCTCTTCTAATAATAATTGTTCTGGTCATTTTGGTTGAGATTACAATACCTCTTTAATAATACTATTGTTAAATATGTACTTTAAAATTGCTCCTCTGACACTAACATTTCCAGTAAATGGGCATTTTTTATCAATATAATGTCCTTCAATAGCTTCCTTTGGTACTTTGAATCCAAGTCCAACTTCTTTCCAATATCTAACTCCTTTAGATGTTTTCTTGGCTAAAAGCTTTTTTGAATTTTAAAAGATGCCCTCTTGCTTTTAAAAGGCTCTTTATGTTTAGAGGTCTGCCATAATGTATATTTTAAAAATTAAAGATATAAATTTTTATGCTTTCATAACTAAATGTTTCAAACTTAGTTCATTTCATAACAATATTTATTCTTGTAAAAAATTTTGATTCCTTTTTTTAACTTGATTATCCTTTAATATATAGCCATAATAAATTTAAAATATAAGAATTTGTTTGACATAATTTTACCCAATGATTTTTACAATATTTATGTTAGATCATTAAAATTTGGTTATTTTTCTATAATATATCCTAATCCTTAATTATTGAAGAATAATTAATCATATCAAAGTAATCATTGCAAATTAGTTCAAATTCCTTCTTTGCATTATTTTAGATTCAAAAAAGATAAATTTAATATTTTCTAATCTATGTTCTCTTAATAGTTGTTAATGGTAAATTTGGGGAAATTCTTTTGAAAGTAAAGAATATACACATTTACTATAACATCAAAAAATAATAAAAGATACATAAAGGTAATATTTATTAACTAACTTAACAAAGATAATTATTAGTTAAATTGACATTAAAAATAATCATAACAATTATGTTAAATTTTTAGAATACCTCATATTTGACTTAGTGATAATTAGAAGTAATTAATGAATCTTTTAAAAACATCAATTATCTCATTAAATTTTTTAGTTATTAATAAATTAAGAAATTAGTTATAAATTAAATAACTAATAATTGATATATCAATTAGATCTATTAAAGTATTAATTCACTAAGATATTAAGTTTTTCTTATGATGTTAATATTCTCTATCTTATAATTACTATTTAATAATTACTATTATTATATATATATAAGATAATCAATATGATGTGAACATATATTTAATTGCTATAATTGTTGTTGGTTAAAGAAAACATAAATAATAAATAGAAAATAAAAATTCAATCAAATTTATAAGTTGTTTATTCTTATTCTATTTTATTATTATTAAAATCAAAATTATCAATAAAATCAGTATTATATTACTCATAAATTTTAATATTTTGAACTCAAAAGGAGATGTTTATTTGCAACAGATTATGATGTTGGTCGATTTCTATCTATAAAATTTTATTAAATTTATTGTGGATGCAGCTAGGCTGATATTCTTATTTATGTACTATGAGATTGTTTATGAGATGAAGCTTATAACCATTTTTTATTCACACTTAAATTTGAATCATTTTGATTTAAATAATGTTATAGTCTTGCAGGAGAATATTAGCTAGAAATGCTTCTGTATCTCTGTGGAGGAGTATAGATAACACTTTTATTATCATCAAATTAACATCTATGTTATTTTGGAAAATTGTTTTATGATGTCTAATTTTGCTTTTTAAGTTATTTTTTTTATTTTTCATTCTATTTCTTGACTAATAACTAAAAGGAACATTAAGCTAAATTATAATTTATTGATTTGCTCAATTATGAATGCATCATACTTTGATTTTAAGTGATTTGTGATGTTGATTTTTATTCTTGATTGATAGGTTTTAAGTTTGAAGTATTGATTTCAGCAATCGAATTTTACCATAAAGTAACCATATCTTTTTCTACATATTTGTCTTGAGTCATATCAATCAAACTTATAAGATGTGCACTCTTTCTTATTCTTAACATTTTACTTATTCTAAATTTATGCTATTACTAAGTAGTATTAGGCTTGTAATATCTAAATTAATTTTAATAGTCTATATTTCATTAGATTCTCTTAATGGGTCTTGTAACTTTCTTGTTGTCATTAAAAATATGTTTATATTATAATTTATTCTTGGAACAAGAGACTCTCTTCTATTTAGTAGTAGCATTCAGAGATACATGTATCCAAAGCAAACATTAGGATTAGTTGAATTGCTTAAGAAACTCTTTAAATAAGAAATTTGTAAAGAAAGTCCAGAGAGTGAAGTAATTGCAGAAAAAACATTTGAAAGCATGAAATTAGCATTATAATTTATTGGTTGGATGATTTTATACTACATTGTATAATGGTGTTTGAGTTTTGTGATAGGTGAGATAGCATCTTCTTTTTTTTATTGGATTTGTGTGATTGCCACATATTCTAAATATGCAGCAGGTATGTGGATTAGGACATAAGAAGTAACATAAGAAGCAATAAAAATGGAAACAAATTTTTATCTAAATAGATCATTTGTTAGCTATTAGATAGATGAATCAGAAGTTTTATTAATGTTAGATTATTCTATGACTAGGATCATTTTTAGTGTGTTATTTTAATTGTAATCTAATATTTTGTGCTTTGTAATAGGAAATTATTTACCATTCCCATTAAATCTATTAAAAATTCCAATATATTCTTTATTCATATCAATCTAAAATATATCAGCAAAAATACCATATAAGAAACATTTAGCATACTTTTATAGTTAAAATATTGGTTATTTAATTGGATTTAATTTTTTATTTTCATGTTATCTACATATATCATCATTTCCCTTTTTTACAGGAATTTTATGGTTTATTATGCCATTATATTTATTAAATGCAATTCCAATTGAACCACCAAGATTTGAAAATAGTGTGAATAACCTTTAACTAAAGGATTACTTAAATATTTATAGTTCTTAAGGGGATAGTTAATTATCAATAAAAAGAGATTCATATGTAACACATCTTAATGTATAAATATAATTCACTATTTTTAGAAATATTTTAATGATTAAAATTATGCATCAATTTGTGAAAATTAAATCTCTTATATTTCTATGCCTACCCTTTTAGTGCCTTAGGTTTTATAAATATTATAAAAAATTATTTCAAAATTATAAGGACATCAACATGAAGATTGAGATTTTTATTATATCATATATATATCTATAAACATAAAAATATTATCAATCAAAATGAGGATTGTTTGAAATCTTATTGAAAAATTAAATACTGTATTCCCAATCATCCTCTTATTAAAGACTATCCTTTTAACATTCACTATTTTCAGATAGATTAAAAGAGTTTATATATGTTAATTATTCATCTTCTATCTTATTTTTCTAAGCATTTTCGTAACTCTCTTAATCTTACTTTTAAAAACCTTCTTCACTTTATCTTTACTTATTAAGAATTATAGCCTTCTTAATTTTCGATTTATTTTTTTTCATATAAGATCTTAGATATCCCATCTTTTTCTCACTAATCTCCTTTATATTGATTAGTAATTGAGCTTTGTTAAAGATTTAAATATAATCCTCTAAAGTCTTTTTGGGTACTTTCACTAAATCAGCTGCCTCTTTTAAAGTAACCTTTTTTAAAATTCCATTTTCTTAAATTCCATTTCTAAAGATATATCTCCACTATTGTACTCTATAGTAAGCATCTCCTATGCTTCTTTCTTTAACTCTTTTTGAAGTAATTTCAGAGTAAAAGTTGCTATTCATAAGAAGTAATTATTACATTTTTTTTCAATTTGATATTCGCTTTTTATAGACAACATTCTATATATAATTTACATTTCCATAAGAAACAATCTCAAAAAGAACAAAGTTCATACCCTAAATTTATCGAAATATTAGGGAAATAAGTTTACTGATTTAGTTAATATTATAAGAATCAATTTTTTATAGTAGTTGAATATTCATTAAAATCCTAACAGAATATTTTATAATATTCTAATCAACTTCGAGATAATTAAATTCTAAATAAATTTAAAGAAATAACATTTTATAGAAATTAATTTAAAATATATATATAAAAAATTTAATTAATCATGAAGTCTCTAATTATATTTTTTTTAATTTATCATAATTATTAATAATTCATGTAGCATATTTCTTTGTTTAAATTCTAGTGTAGTCTTCAAATTGATTCTTGTCTTCTAAGTACATCTCCTTAGCTGTCAAGTTGTGAGTGTCCTAAACAATGGCTTCTCTTAGAATATTATAGATCTTTTTTCTAATGTATATTTGACTGTTTTTGTTGGGTTCCATTATTCCTTTAGCTGATTGAATCAAATTACATATCTCTCAATCGTATGATAACACATATAGCCTGCGTGATCAATGTTTGGATGGAATATTTTAGTTTAGAATTAAAAGTTGGGAGGCTAAAATGGATAATTCTCTGGAAAACTGATAGACAATTTAAACTTTCCTCCTTGATAAGAAGTGCCTTCTGGTCCTGCCACTATTGCATTCCATCTAATATTTATATTTTAAATCTTTACAATAATCTACAATTAGGATCTGGTATTATTTTTACCCAAGAAAGAGGACTATCAATAGTCAAGTCTTTAAGTTTTTGTTTAATCTGTTTTACATTAATTGCGATGATTTAATACTGAATAGAAAATATATATTTTATGATAAAAATAGAAAATTTGTAATAATTCTTTAGTATAATCAATATAATCATTATTAACTATTATAGTATAAAATAATAAACGTCAAAAAATTAAGAGCTTCTAAATTCTTATTAAATAAGAAAACCTATAAATTCAATCTGTATATAAAAAGAATCATAATTAAAATTAATTTAGATAACTATATTAATTATTCATTTCTAAAAATCGCTTTGTCCAATCATAGAATCATCATTTTAACCTTGTTAATTACCATAAAAGTAATATTTATTATTTTAAAATGATTGTTGAGTTGGAGGTACAACCTTTTCAAAATTAGTGATATCAGCTAAATTGGTTTTCTTCAATACAGATATATTAGCTGATGAAGTTGAAGTATTATTTGAATGTGTTGGACTTAACTTTTACAGACCAATAGCTATAATAATCAACATAAGTATTACTTGAAACATTATTAATTGGATTTCTATATTTGTTACCAGTCATAATATTATTACTAGTCATATTATGAGCAGCTACACTTCTTCTTGTTGCTCTTTATTCATTTTTCAATTTTTCATTATCTCTTAATAATAGCTCCTCTTTCTTCCTTAATCTATCTAATTAATCTGTCAATTCATTCTTTAAATTATTTAAATGATCTCTATCTAAATTCCACTTAGCTCTTTCTTTTTCAAATTCAAAAATTAAAGTGGATCTTTTACTCTCTACCTCTTTATATTTTGTTTCCAATTCAGTAATTTTAACCTTTAAACTTTCCCTTTCCTATTCTAACATTCTTTAATATTCCAAAATCTTTTAATCTCTATCTTATTTAATATTTTCTATCTCTTATTATAATCTTTTTTCATTATCTAGCATCTCTGCAAACTTTTTTTCTGATAGCAATTAATTTCCAATTTTACCATGTTAATCAATCAATATTTTATCTTTATGAGTCTTAATTTCTTTCTATAATCTTCTAATTTTATCTTCATAATCTTAAACTATTCTTTAATGAGTTTAATTTGCTTCTTCTATTTAAGCTTGATATTTTCTTTCTACACTTAATAATAATTCATTTAAATTATTTTCTTGCTCATCTTTTTCATTTGATCTAGCTCTTTATAAATGCATTAATGTCATCTCAAATTTCTTTAAAGCATCTACTAAATCTTATTTAGCTTATTCTTTTTATTATTCTAAAAATTAGAATTTTCCTTCCCATAAAGCTTTATCTCTTTCATAACTAGTGTGAATTTCACTCTTATCTTATTCTAATTATAGATTTAATTATTTATATTTTTCTAATTCTTATTGCAATTATTTTTTTTCTTATGCAATTTATTCTCTCAATGAAGCCTATTATTAAGCTATAGTTGCAGCTTCATCTTTTAATTTAGATTCTAATTCATTCTTTCTGATTTCAAGATGTCCTAACTTTTCAGTCAAAATAGCTTTCTCTCTTTCCAAAGTTGAAGCTTATTTATTATATTAATATTCAGCTTCTTTTAATTATTTCTTAATTTTTTCATATTTAGTTTCTATAGTAGTTTTCTCCTCTTATGCTCTTTCTAATTTTTATTCTAATTCAACTAAATATTCATTCTTTTATTATTTTAGCTTTTCATCAAATCTAGATTATTGTGTATCTATTTATCTTTGTAGATCCTCTATTTTCTTTTATAAGAATTCATTTTATTATTATATTAATGCTGTTTCTCTTCCATATTCAATTTTCTTTTCCAAAAATTCATCATTCATTTTTTATAATCTTAATTTTGTTTCTTCTAATCTTTCAAGTTATTCTTTCTTCTCTTCATGCCATTCTTTTCTTGATTATTCAAATTATTATTCTTTTCTTGATTTTTCATTCTCTAATAAATCTTTTTTCTATTATAAAGCCATATGCTCTTTCTACAAATTATTCAATTAACTAGATAAAACATCAATCTTTTATATTAAACTCTTTCTTTCATTTGTAAATGAATTCATTTATTATTCTAATGTAGCATTATTATTATTTTGTAGAGAAATCAATTATTCTTTTGTTTCTTTAATATGTTTTTCAAAAATTTCAATTGTTTATTACTTCAAAGCAATTTCATGATCATATTATTATATTGTATTTGTATATTATTAAACTTAATCTCTTAAATCATCTTTTAAATTTTCAATTTCTTCTTCATAATTTTATTCAGTCTCCCTCAATTTATGATAGAATTCCTCTTATGCTGCTTAAAACTTTTTTTCACTTTTTTCTTTTTCTTCACAAATTCTTCTTTCTAATCTCTCTCTTTCAATTTCATAGAAATTTTTTAATTAAGTTAATGATTCCTCAGCTTTAGCCTAAGCTAAATTAACTTCTTTTGCAATTTTAGCATCAGATTCATCAATTGCTTATTCCAGTTATTTAATTTTCTTTTAATATCTTATTTCCTATTCTTTCAATAATTATAATTTTTATCCATCTAACATTTTATTCTAATCAAGTAATTTGTTTCTTTATTCTTCTGTAACTTATAATTATTCTTTTAAATTATCTAATTCTTTTATCAAATCTCCAGTTTCAAATTTAACCTTTAATTCTAATTCATTATTCTTTTCATTTAATTAATCAATCTATTATTATAATCTTTTTTTTGTATTTTCATATTCATTTTCAATATTTTTTAATTCTCTTTTATGTTATTCTCTTAATTCATTCATTTTAGCTGCATCAATTTTATATGTAGATTCATTACTTGAATTTTCAAATGCCTTCATAATAGCTTCATGAGATTTCTTATTTTCTTCTATTTATTTTTTATACTCATCTAATTAAACTTCCATAAATTCCATCTTTTATTACATTAAAGCTTTATCTTTCTCACTTTAACTTCTAGTCTATTTTAATTAATCATCTTTAGATTTAATTAAATCTTCTAAATTTTATACTTTTTCAATCATCTCATTAACTTAATTATTTGCATCATTCTTTAACATTAATTAAACTTATTCTTCATTTCTTCTATATTCTTTTAATTCTCTTGTCAAAACTTAAATTTATTCATTTAATTCTAAATTTTATTTTGTAAGACTTCTTTCTTTATGTTCAAATTTTTTAAAATCATTTTCAAAATTTGTTTCCTTTTCAATTAATTCATTCTCCATTTCATTTAATTTCTCTTACAAATCATTTAATTTTTATTATAATTAACGAACTGATTAATCAGCCTTACTTTATTAATCTTTTGATTATAATGAATATTCTTTTCTTAAATTTTTTATTTCATTTTAATAATCTATTTCTTTAGCATTCATTTCATTTACTAATTTTTCAAAAAAAGTAATTTTTTATTCTAATAAAGCTCTTTCTTTTTCAAATTCAGAATTACCAAAAAGTGTTGTTCTCTCTAAATCCTTATTAAATTCTTCAGCTTTCAATACTTATCCTTTTAATTCTTAAATTTATCTCATCAATTCATTTTTCTCATTCTCAGATTCAAGTTTTAAATCTCTTTCAACTTAATCCTTTTATATTTTAAGCTCTTCCAAATTATCTCTTGCTACTTATTCTCTCAATTCAATTTCAGTCTTTTCACTTTCAATTTAAGCTAATTTCATTAAAAGATTATTCTTATCTTTTAAACCATCTTATCTAGCTTCTTTTAATTCTTATTCTAATTTCTTTTAAGTTTCTTATGATACATTCTTCATCATTTCTGTCTCTTAAGAATATTATCTAATAAATAAATTAGATCCTTCAATTAAAGCTCTCTAAAGGAATTCTAAAATTATTTAATTTCTTGTTCCAACCCTTGGACCATTTTCAATAAAGAAATTATAAAACATTTTTATATCCTTCTCATATTCACCAAAAGTTCGATATTCACCTAATTTTAATTTTCTATCTATTGGTTAGAATTCTTATTAAATAAATTATGAACACATTCTTGAACCTTCTCTATCATTTTCTTATTTTACAGCTGCAAATCGATTTTTAATACGTTTAGATAATTCATTCTTAAATTCATCATATTCTCCAACACATTTTTTCTTGAATAAAGCAAATGCTTATTCTTTTAAACTTCTATTGAAAGCTTTCAAATCTTCATTGGAAATTGGAAATCTATTATGAAGATTTTCTTTTAAGATTTATTCATAAGTTTCAAATGCTTCTGCAACTGCTTTCTGACATTCATTTTTACAAATATATGTCCATGCTGATTCTATAGCTGGAACAGCTCCATTATTAATGGCTGTAACATAAGACTTAACAAGATCACAATACATTTAACCAGAAAGAGTTTTGCCATTCAAAGTTTTAGGTCTAATTCTATTTAATATCTTTTTTCTTAAATTTATCACTTATTCAAAAAATTCAGGTCTCAACTTATCAAAATCTAAATTCTCCAAATTTTATAGACTGCTTTCTTTTGTTAAAGGTCTAACTAAAGTTATACAATCTCTATCTTTGAAAAAAGTACTAAGTAATTTTCTAATTTTATTTTTTTAATCAATTCCATCTGAAGTACCTTTTTATAAAGTTAATGCATTTTCTAAATAATCTTTAGAGGTTATTTGTTCATTGTTACGATCAACTAATTAAAGAGTAAAATCTCGTACAACCCAATAGAATTAAGGAAAGTATTAGGATAGATCTTCTAAATCTGTTGTTGATTAACCACTAAAATCTTATAAATATCATATTACCTTTTGAGTTGAATATTTTTAGTTAGATTAACTACTAAACTCAAGTTTTGAAGAGCATTTTCATCGATGCTGCCAACAGAATTATAAATAAAGCAGGAAGTTAAAAGTATAGTTAATGAAAATATTCTTATATCGTGTGTAGAATCTTCATCAGGAGCACCAAGTCCTTCACTATCAACAACCAATATTGAACAACTTTCTCCATCACTTGTTTATCCAAGGAGTGGTTTACCCCACATCCATAGTCCCTTTGTACATGGCAACACAGTTGGACCTACTCCAAAACCATCAGATCTATTTAGCAACATTCTATTCAACAGATACGATTTTCCTGTTCTATACATTCCAGCTACACCTACAATCCCAATAGGTGCTGGAA